AGAAAAATTCTCAACTTTACATGGAAAAACAAAAAACCCAGAACAGCTAAAACAATCCTATACAATCTTATGAAAGAAGTGGGAAATAGTAAGATCTGGAGAGGACAGGAACTCCACAAGGAGAGCAACAGAACCAGAAAATTTGAACACAGGGGTCTTCCCAGAGACTCATACTCCAACCAAGCACCATGCATGGAGATAACCTAGAACCCCTGCACAGATGTAGCCCATGACAGTTCAGTGTCCAAGTGGGTTCCATAGTAATGGGAAGAGGGACTGCCTCTGACATAAACTGATTGGCCTGCTCATTGATCACCTCCCCCTGAGGGGGGAACAGCCTTACCAGGCCACAGAAGAAGACAATGCAACCACTCCTCATGAGATCTGATAGACTAAGATCAGAAGGAAGGAGAGGGGGACCTCCCCTCTCAGTGGACTTGGGGAGGGGCATGTGTGAAGAAGGGGGAGGAAAGGTGGGATTAAGAGGGGAGGTTTATTAAGAGGGTTTATGGGGGATACAAAGTGAATAAAGTGTAATTAATAAAAAAAAAATCAGAAAAAAACCCAGAACAGCTAAAACAATCCTATACAATAAAAAAATCTTCTGGAGGTATCTCTATACCTGATTTCAAGTAATACTATAGAGCAACAATAATAAAAACTACATGGTACTGGCATAGAAACAGACTGGTGGATCAATGGAATTGGATCAAAGACCCAGAAATAAACCCACATACCTACGGACACCTAAGTTTTGACAAAGATGCCAAAACCATGCAATGGAAAAAAGACTGCATCTTCAACAAATGGTGCTTATCTAAGTGGATGTCCACCTGTAGAAAAATGCAAATAGACCCATACCTATCACCTTGCATTAAATTAAAATCCAAGTGGATCAAAGATTTCAACATAAAACCAGACACACTAAATCAATTGGAAGAAAAAGTGGAGGAGAGCATCAAACTCATTAGCACAGTAGACAACTTCCTGAACAGAACACCAACAGCTCAGGCTCTATGATCTACAATTAATAAGTGGGACCTCATAAAGCTGAAAAGCTTCTGTAAAGCTAAAGATACTGTCAACAAAACAAAATCACAGCCTACAGACTTGGAAAAGATTTTTAGCAACCCTATATCCAACAGAGCTAATATTCAGAATATGTAAAGAGCTCAAGAAATTAGACACCAACAAACAAAATAATCCAATTTAAAAATGGAGTATAGAGCTAAGCAGAGAATTCTCAACAGAGGAATATTGACTGGTAGAGAAACACTTAAAGAAATGTTTAATGTTGTTAGTCATCAGGGAAATGCAAATCAAAACAACTATGAGATTCCATCTTACACCAGCCACAATGGTTAAGATAAAAAATTAATGAGAATACATGCTGGAGAGGATGTGGAGAAACGGGAATCCTCCTCCATTGCTGATGTGAGTGCAAGCTTGTACAACCACTTTGGAAATCAATCTGGTGCTTTCTCAAAAAAATTGGAATAGTGCTTTCTCAAGATCCAGCTATACGACTATTGGGCATATATCCAAAAGATGCCTCATCATTCAACAAGGACATTTGATCAACTATGTTCAAAGTAGCTTTGTTTGTAATGACCAGAATCTGGAAACAACCCAGATATTCCTCAACAGAAGATTGGATACAGAAATTGTGGTACATTTACACAATGGAATTCTGCACAGCTATTTAAAACAAGGGAATCATGGAATTTGCAGGCAAATGGATGTAACTAGAAAAGATTATCATGAGTGAGGTAACCCAGAAACAGAAAACCATGCATGGCATATACTCAATTATTAGCAGATATTAAACTTATAATATAGGATAGTCATACTAAAATCTACAGACCTAAAGAAGTTAAACACTAAGGAGGACACTAGGTAGGTTGCTTAAATCTCATTCAGAATGGTAAACAGGATAGAAACCAAAAGCAGTGGAAAAGAGGAATGAGGACAGGAGCCTACTATAGAGAGTCCTCTGAAAGGCTCCACCCAACCAGGTATTGAAGCAGATGTTAAGATTCACAGCCAAACTTTGGGCAGTGTGCAAGGAGTCTTATGGAAAAGTGGGGGAGGAAGATGGACAGGGAGGAGACAGGAGCCCCACAAGGAGACCAACAAAGCTAAAAATTCTGAGCCCAGGTGGTCCTAAAGAGACTGATGCACCAACCAAGCACCATGCATGGAGAGAACCTAGACCTCCTGCTCAGATGTAGCCAGTTCGTAGCTCTGTCTCTATGTGGGTCTAAGTGGAGCAGGGGCTGCCTCTGTCATGAACTCAGTTGCCTGCTCTTTGATCTCTTGCCCCTGGCGATGCTGCCTTCCCAGGCCACAGAGGAAGAGGATCCAGGAAGTCTTGATGAGACTTGATAAGCTATGGGCAGATGGCAGAGGAGAATTTCCCCCATTCCATGGACTAGGGGAAGGCAAGAATGGAGAAGAGGGAGGGAGGGTGGGACTGGGAGGAGCTGAGGGAGGGAGCTTCATCGGGGTATATAATGAAAAAATTGTAAAAAAAAATAAATTTAAAAGAAAAGAAATTCCTCTCAGAATTCTCACTCTAAATCATAAGTATGGCCTTAATTGTGCAATGTACATGTTTAGCACTCATGTAATGCTATCATGTGGAAGTTGGGCAGATAGCCTTTCACTACCTCTTTCTCCTGCACTCAAGTGTTGACCGTTCATTTACATAACAGAACTGGAAACTATTTTCTACAATATTCTCTTCTGTTTTAGTCTCAGCATTTACTGTGTTGCCACATGTTCAGAAACATTGTAGTTGATTTTTCTTTTTGAATATTATATAGTTGAAAAGAAGAGATCCATATAAAGTAATATCATGAAATCACACTGGCAGCCACAAAATAAAGTTATAGACTTCATGTAGTTTTAACAACAAAAACGAAATACTTTATTTAAGGCTATCTTTATGACTATAAAGCTTCAGTAAAAGAAAAAAAGAACATATGTGCCAAATTCCTATTTAATTTCTGAAAGTAATTGTGATATTTATATATGTTCATAACATACAGGTATGCTTCTAGTTTTTGTAACTTTCAAACTTTTAAAACTTGTATGTTCCAACTTAATTGGCTATTAAAGTACTAAACATGACTACATTTCATTGTATCTCTGCTTTTGATGATAGCTTAAATGTTCCCACATGGATTCTGAGTTTTGCTGATACAATGCTAAGGACATTGAGTAACAGGAAATGATCATTTACCAAATTAAAAAAGAAAAAAAACCCTTCTTTTTCTATGAAGTATTTTTATATGGATACTTCTTGTTCCTCTACTGACCTTCCCTTGCCCTTGAGAAATCATGGCAATTTTAAGATAACATTACAAGAACTGAGGACTGAAACAAAATGAAGTTGGAAGTACTTCAGCTTGGCAAACTGACATGCTGTTTTTGTATTTATGTCTTTCAACTTTAACACCCACTATTTATTGAGACTCTGTGCCAGAGCGGAAGCTGCAAATCCTGTTTGGACACCGTTGAGGAAGGAAGCTGGGACTTTATGGGGCACCCCCTTCCTCTCAGCCACCGACCAGGAAAGCCATCTTTCCCTATAAAAGCTATTCAATCTAAGAGGTGGGGTGCTTTGGGAAGGAAGATGACCTCTCCCTTGTAAAGTGGAATTGCTGTTTCCCCACCGTGAGTTACTCAACTCATTTCCACTAGTGTTTATAAGAACACTTGTGTGAATGATTGTAGTGACAGCAATAGTCATTTAAAATATGGTTCAGATTCCTGGCCTTCCAATTTCCCAAGTTCTTTTGAGTTGTCAAGCATTACAGCCCAGGTTGTGCTGAGGCCTTTTCAGAGTGGAGTATGTGTCTCAAATATGAGAAGTTTTATCACCACAGCTGTGTACAAAAGTCATGGCTGCTCCCAATGTGACGACAGAACAAGGAATCATGTAGTTAGCATGCTTTGGAGGGAGACAAGGACTTTCTGAAACTCCATGGGAAGTGTTTGCTTACATAGCATGTGTTCTGGGAACGGCAGGCAGTTTAGCACAGTAAGTGGAAGTACTGTGACCTTCTGGATGGAGGTCAGAGGGACTTGGTGCTGTCAAAGATATGTAGGCACTTAGTGTACCTTAAATGATTTGGGATCTTGACTTTAACTTCAGCTGAGTTTTGATTTAATTAATTCGAATTGTTGAGGGCCAGTGATCAACTGGGAGCTTCACAAAAAAAAAAAAAAAAAAAGTAGTTCCTTTATTCATTTCCTTATGATTCTTCAATCTTTTTTGGGAACGATGTTGTGATTAAAATAAAACTGTGAAGAAAAGAGAGTTCTCCAGGCTATTCCCACGTTAGCATCTTTCATTACTATGCTGCCATTTGGCAGCACTAAATGGGTCTTCAATTGTATTTCACCTGGTTTTTCATTAATATAATTTATTCTCTTCCAGGATCCAATTCATGGATATTTATCCATCATAGAATCTTTTCTGATTCATAACAGTTTTCCACCCTGCCATTATTTTCCCCATGACTTGATAGTTCTTCGGGTTATTGGCCAGAGAGTTTAAAGAGAGTTCTTCATATTTGAGTATGTGAAAGAGATTAGTCTCCAGAGGGAGGAAAAACTTCTGTCTTTACATCATAATCTGCACCACTAGGTTCTGTCAACACATCACTCTGAGCTGATGGTTTTTGTTACTTTATCTTTCTATCAGTTACAATGTCACTCTAGAATTAAACATTGATTAATCTTGTACTTAGTATCTGCCTAATATTTGCTTCCTGTATAATCATATAGTGGTAAAAAATGAGACCGATGTAAAAACTGTAAATGAACTATCAAATCATGCTGGTTAATAAAAAATGAGTTGTAAAATACAAAATGAGTTGTAAAAGTACAGAGGCACAAAAAATAAAATACCTTTTAAACTTAGTCAAAGTTAGTTTTTCCATTTAAAAGCCACAGAACATTGGCACCAATACTCCATTTTTTATTCCTAACAGATTAGGATTGGACAACCAAATTGTTATGTGTTGAAGAATAAAGATTTAGAACAAGCTTTTAAAGGGCTTATCTACTTAGAGATGGACCTCATCTATAATCCGGTAAGTGCCCTCAGGATGTGCCTCCCAGCTTCTCAGTACCTAAAACACATGGCGCTCAGCCTGGGCAGACTGGAATTAATGTCAAAGATTCCAGACTTAAAGCTGGGGAATGGGTGGGGATGTATTTAAACCTCAGTCACAAAAATCCATGCTGAATGTTCCAGGTTTCAAATGGTTGAGCCCAAAGGATGGATGAGGTTTGAATTCTCAATAATCTAAATGTCAAGAAAAAAATCAAAAATAAAGGAAAAGAAGTCTTTATATACTATATATACTTTGCATATCTATATGTCGTCTATAGATCACATAAATATATGACACATTATGCATAAATATAATCTACTCGAGGAACATAAATTTTATGTTCTGTATAATCTATATATAATACATAGTATATCTGTTTAAACTCTGATATGCAAGTTGTGCAGTCTCTAAAACAATGTGTATCATTTTTATATCTATATATTCTCAAATTCTTAGTAATACTGAAACCAGGGGACAGTCATCAGTGGAGGAGTTCTCCCCAGTTTCTTTCTTTCTTTTTCACCAAAATAAACCATCTGTTCAGTTTTCAGGAGAGGTGACCTCCCTCAGTCTACTACTTTTTTTTTCTGGGAAACACTTGTAAATATATTATATGGCTAATATGTTATTCAGCCAAGACAGGAGTGTAGTGTCAGGTAGAAAATATGTTGGTTAAGGGATATAGTGGAAGCAGATTTGTGCTTCACTTTTTTGAAGTTTTCCAACAGTCTGCTGGTTTGAACAAGTCAGTCAATTCCCCTGGGGCTCAGATTTCCCCTTGTAAACGAGCTACCATGGCCCATTTGCTTGCTTTTTCAGGTCACTGGAGGTAATGAGATTGTCTGTAGAAAGGTTGTTTTTATGGACTGAGAATTGTCATTCCTCTTTTTAGGTACAATTGCTGAAAGTTTAGTTCAAAATGAGAGGAGAAAATTTTTTTGTCATTTAGATTAGCATGAAAAGTCATGAAGCTCAGTGTCTCTCCTGGTGTGAAATACTTGGACTTAGCCAAGTGCTGAAAAGAGTAACCCTGGTCCAACCTGACTTACTAAGGAACTCTATGGCCCTAAGACCATGGTAACTGCTCAAGCCTGACTGGACCTATCACGTTCTGGTCCCTATCTATGGACTGTGGGTTAAAAGGTCCTCATAGTCTGTGATGGTCCCAGCTACTCAGGAAGAAAATGACATCTCTGTGAGTGCTGTCCTTGTAACAGCGTGTTTTTCCAGGTCAAAGCAAGTATCAGGACCTTCAGCCCAAGAGAAAAGCGCTTTGTGGAAGATAGTCGCAAGCTGTCCAAAAAGGTAGGTTGTCCCCACCAACCAGCCTTGGAGTCTATTCAGCAGCCAGCATCCTACTGGTCCAAGCACTTCTTGGTCATGGTTCCTTCTCTTTCATCTGTCCTATCCTCTCCCACTCCTTTCTCTTCTGAAATTCTCATCTTTTCACTTCTTTCTCTTGTTCTCTCTCTCAAAATGAGGCTTCAGCCAGGTCAGTGAGAAGTGGTTTAAAACCTATTCCTGGAAGGAAATGGAGGTGGGAGTGGGGGAGCCAGGCAGTTCTGTAAAAGTCATCATGGAGCACAGACACTCTAAAAGTTGTCTATCCTCCTTACTTGCAGCATGTTGGTTTCTCCAGTTCACAGCTGAAGGCAAGTGCTCTCTGCTTGCTCCATGGATAAAGGAATTTCCCAGGCTTCAAAAGCCTCTAGCCTCAGATTCACCTAGGGCTGCTTTAACTCCCTGTGTTTATATTTAGGGTTTGTTGGTCTCTTACCCCATACTGAATTAGCTGTCTCTCTCTCTGCCCTGTCACCCCAAGCTCCTCTCGTATCATTTCAACAAAAAGTAAAGATCTACATGAAAGGCAAGGTCTTCATAGTCAAACAGAAAAAGAAAGAAAGAAAGAAAGAAAGAAAGAAAGAAAGAAAGAAAGAAAGAAAGAAAGA